AACTTGAAAACAAAACAACCCCAAGAATTTCGAAGAGAACACCAGGAAACTATGCACACCTCTGAGGTCTCAAAAAAACTTTAACTTGAGAAGGATTGAGAGTCTTCAAAACACAATAAAAAACAAATTACCAACACCACATAATATACCCAAAATCCCACTAATAACCCAACAGCTCTTTAAGTAACCAAACACACTAAACAGAAAAAAGTGAAAAAACTACTATTACAAATTACAAAAGTTTTAATAAAGATCACTACCACTACAAAAGAGAAACTAAGAAAAACCCACCACATGCAGAAACCAACCCTTCTCAAGGCAATAACCACACTGAAGTTAAATAAGTATTTCATGGGATATAAACCCAATTAAAGCTTAAAGCACTTCAGAGGAAACTCTATTAATCTGGAATCACACCATACCTCTCAAAAACAAATAAAGCCCAGAAGACAACCCACCCCTCCAATGGTATTCACCTTACTTGTATTCCAAACTCTCCACCATCTCCCTAAAATCTCAAAATGAAACCTACAAGGAATCCCAGACCCTCATACACCAATCAAAAACCTAGTCCTATAAAAGGTCTAGAGCCCAGTTCTTTGTTAAGGCACAATCTCACATTAAAATACTTAAAACTTAATAACCTCAATTCACATGAATTTTAATTGCACAGCACTACATGGGCCTAAAGAGTTTTACTTACGTTCCATTAAACACAGAATATTAGCACTTGACTATCTATTTTTTTTGGAAAAAAATTAGTTTAACAAAAATATTATATCACAAATAATATAAGACTGGGTCTACAAGCAAGTATGAAATAGTCACGTGGAAATCAATATGACGGGCTGTTTATCGAAGATACGAGTTGAATATTAAAAATATATTGCCATACAAGTGCACCACCTCTCTCAACCCAGTTGTGGTATATTCTACTCTGTGTAACCCAAAGTTCTCATTTATTTTTTATTCATTGTATAATACTCTCTTTTCTACCCTTGCATACCTACCATCGCAAATGCACTGCACTTCAAGGGTGCAATATTTATCATTCATCACTGAAAACAGGGCAGATATTTATTACAGGTTGCATTACTCTTACAATAAATTAAATACTTCCAACTTTCAATTTCCAGGCTTGTATCCGGGAGCTAAGATATGCGAGGAATACGGGCCAGAAAATTTTCGCGGGCCCATTAGTTATTGCCTTCGCCACCAGATGGCGCAGCAGTCCCCCTCTAGGGGCAAAAATATGAAGTAATGCATTCGTATTGTGCAAAGGCATAAATTGAGGTTAAGTAATAACTCTTACCGAAGTATTTGTTCCATTTTCTGTACCTTTCTCTTAAATTTAAATTCAGTGCTATTTTGAAAAACCTACAAAATAAATATTATGATAATAAAGATTTGAGAAGGCATAACTTTTATTTTTAACATTTTGCAATATGATGAATATGTAGCCAGATACTGTAAATTTTTTCTGACTGCAGTACGATGCCATGCAGGTTTTCGTGAATATGCCAGCGTACCTTTAGGCTGATAGAAAGGTGGAATTATATTACTAGCCAACAGACTGTCAGCCTCTGGTGAAGGCTTGCACTATGAAGTTTGTGTAATTGTTAAGTACACATATCTGTATGTGTTATAAATAAAGATAAAAACCAGTTACGTATAAATTATTGCAAAGAATGCATTTGGAAAATAAAGAGTGAAATTGAAGTTTCTGGAGTAATTTAAAAATAAAATGCAGAGAACACTTTAATCTAAATAAGTTAAATGAAAAGGTTATATGCAACTAGTTATGTGTTACTGATTTTCTGGAATTGCACCATAGTAGCCAAATCCTTCATTACTTAATTTCCCATCTTATACAATATTATACTATACAGCAACTGAGACTACCGACGTTGAAAATAACTTTAAATGGACTTGTATATATCTAAACTGATAAATTTTTCGTAGTGAAGTTCAAATCTTTAGTTTGTCTGCTTTACAGCCTTCGTATTTGTGAATTTATTACCAACAGAAACGATTCCTTTCCATATACATCTTGAAATATTATTCTATGCTGGTGGACTGTTTAACCAAATGAAAACATAACCTGTGAATGTAGGACTGAGATTCTCATGGTGGTGAGTATGAAGATCACACTGATGATGGCAGCAGCAAACACCTCTGAAACGTCGATAACCTTCTACAAATCTACACGGTGCAACAACCTATAGGTCTTACTCGAGTCCTTAAAACGCGTAGTCTCAAAATTGTTTGCACTGAACAGCTTCAGAGTGGACTAGATCTTTGCACATGATCACATAACACCTTCAAGAAGAGCACTTTTTGCAAACACACCTTTGTTTGTAGATCAATTTTAATCATAATTGGATTAAACAGTGATAAACTAGAGAGAGGATAATAGGGATCAAGAAAAAATTGGGAAACATTTTTGTTCAAAATTAAAGAACACTCCCAGAAATATTCTGTAATGAAAGAAAGTACAGTAATTACATAATACAAGACATACCCACTTCTTCTTCTTCTACAGCTCTCCTATCCGTATTCAGTCCATGGCCTCCTCAATTCTCCTCTTCCATTCGGTCCTCTGTTAGGTCCGTCTGTCCGAGGCTTTGAAACATCTTCCTTTTTACGGTGCAAGGTTGTTAGCCTTGTGACTAAAATAATTTTAAACAAAGTGTTGACATATATTGTTATTTGTATTAATACTGCATACAGTTATTTTAACAGTGTACTCAATACTTCTGGCCATATACCATTTCATGCGTTTTTTTTAACAGTGTACTGAATACTTCTGGCCATATACCATTTCATGTGTTATTGCAAATAAACAATTTTGCCATCTTAACTTTCACGTTCATTTTCGAGTTCTACAGCAATGTGAACATAAAACCTAAATTAGATCCGCTTCTTAATTAGTTCTCATGTGAAGGTACAAGTTATATTCACCAAATTCAGAAGTACTGGTAAGAAGATTATATGTAACCAGTCCATTATTCACGGTGAAAGTCTCTCATATACCCAGCCATTGTCACCCTGATGTAGCAGGACTCCGTCAGGCTCATCCTCATTCTTCTGCCTCCTGAACCGAATCCTGTCATGCAGACGGTCAGTCTGCCCCTGCCAGAACTCTATTACTTCAGGTACAACAAGGAACCCTCCCCTGTAAGAGAACGCCCACACTTCACTCTCATTAAGCCTTGCTTTCAATCAAACATTTTTACACAGGGATGAAGTGACAGGAGGTGGGATAAAACTGCGTCATGAGGAGCGCCAAAATTCGTACTCTTCAATAAACATTAGGGTGACCAAATCACAGGTTGTGGTGGGAAAGACGAGAAATGCATAAAAATTGTTGGTTGAAAACTTGAAGGAAAGAGCTTGAAAGACCTGTATAGGACATTGACATGGACGTTAAAGAAATGATAGAAGACTGAGATCTAGATTCATTTGGTTCAGGACAGGGACCAGTAATGAACTCTTCTCAACACAGAAATAAATCCAATAGTACCACAAACAGCATGGAATTTCTTAATTAGATACGTGACTACTTCGTTCAAGATGAAATCTACTCCAAAGTGTTAGTCGCTAATACTCCAAATCATGCCTTAATATTCAAGCAAGAGAATACAGAAAACATGACAAATATAATGTTCATTTACGTAATAACTAACAGTAGGAATAAAAACCACATGAAATTAAATATCGCATTTACCAGTGTTCAGGACGAGGAACCTGTTCTGAGCCATCGCCATATTCCTCTGACAGCTCTGCATTTCTCTTCGTAAGGACATCCCTACTGGCAATGGGCTTGCTCTGTTCACTCACGACGGCACCAATCTGGCTTGGTATGGATCTAGAGTGAAAGTACTCATCTGACTCAGCCGCTGATACTTTCTCTACGTGACCTTCCACTCGAACCTTGGATCAAGACAAAGTGGGTAACAGTGAAGAAAAACCTAATTAAAATAATTTTAAAAGTCACACAGAAAATACTTTGTGCTGATTAGATCATTTCTAAGCATCTGCCTAAGTCTGAGGCCCTGTGCTAAACATCATGTTCGTTTCTTATGGTCAGAAGATGTTTGGTCCAACACAGTTCCGGTGTAATGAATCAGCCACTCTCACAACCTTTCACAGAACAGCTAGTAATTCATGCTGAACTTCGTGCATTTTAATAAAATGTGCACGCAGTCAATTTCTGCGTGAAATTAAAGTTGGATACACGCACACACATACTTCCTATATTACGAGAGAAATACAGTGTGTCCACAAAGTCCCTTCGGGGTTTTGAAAAATTGTGGCGCGCAAACAAATTGAGCTAGCCACATGCGGTTTGCGGCAGATTACAGTGAAACTCTGGAAGTTTTTCACTGACATCAGTAGACCTCGATGTGGGCTCCCTTGGTAGCACGGAGAACGTCCAGACAATATTCGAGCTCTTGCCATGTTCTGTGGAGCATGTCCGCTGGAATAGCCGAGATCGCATTCTTGATACGGGTCTTTGGGTAATCAAGTCTGTTAACTGGTGTTCGGAACACATTGCTCTTGATATGACCCTCAGGAAGAAATTCAGTGGTGTTACGTCTGGTGAACGTGGAGGCCAAGGCATTGGACCGTCTCTGCCGATCCATCTTCCTGGAAATGTCCTGTCTAGGTATGCGCATACCTGCAGACCCCAATGAGGTGGAGCACCATCTTCCAGAGTTTCACTGTAATCTGCCGCAAACCGCATGTGGCTAGCTCAATTTGTTTGCACGCCACAATTTTTCAAAACCCCGAAGGGTCTTTCTGGACACACTGTATGTGGGAATTGTTTCCGACCATCTAGTAAAAGCAGCATATTTTGATATACTTACAGCCTTCTTTAGTGCTTCCCAATAGAAATTTAAAGCAGCATGAGGATTCTCAGCCTGAAAACACAATAAAAAATTTAATCACTTTATTGAAACATTATGAACTATTGTGTGTCTCCCTTTTGCTGAATCTTCATTGATTCTTACCACATTTGCCATCTGAAGAATCATTTGTGTATTCAGATTCATTAGGTGTTCCATAATTTATATAAATGGCAAGAATTAAAAACCCTGTCTCCAGAAGGGAATCAATTCCCGGTCAACTAGCATATAGCCAGTCATGTTACTGACCAACCAAGACCTCAATGATCCACCGCCTATGCTATATTCTGACTCCGATGTCGATTTTAATTCCATGACCAGTCATTACATATACTTACAAGTTCTTGACTCTTTCTGCTGTTGTAATTTGTGAAGAATCTAAAGCCCTCTGTTCCATATCCTTTCAGAAGCACTTGCCGAGCTGAAGG